AATAAATAAATAAATAAATAAATAAATAAATAAATAAATAAATAAAGGTTGCCCAAACCTTTCAGAGTCAGCAAAGAAAGACACGGGGAAAAATCTACAAAGCGGATCCAGACAGAGCTCTGCAGCTCTCCTGCTTCGGCTGCGCCCAGTGAGAAAGCCAGCAGTGTCGGTCCTCCAAGACCAGCTCCCTTTTTTCTTAATCACGGGAAGCCATCGGGTCAGGGAGAAGTCTGCAGCGCATGGCTTCAATGCAACCGCCTCCTCGTCTTTTGGGCAGGGCGAGTGGCGACTGATTTATGTAAACAGGACTTTTGCCTCTCCCCAGGCGGAGAAGGCTGGGGAACGTAGGAGCCAGGCGTAGCAGCTAAAACCGACTCATCCTGGGCTGACTGCTCCAGAAAGAGATAAGGAGCAGGGAACCCCTTGGAGGACACGTCAGCCTTTTCCTGGGCCTTATCTTCTGCCTTCCCCGGGGGATTCCTTAGCTGCCAAGTTTGGGAGTCTCCTCTGAAACTAAACAGACAACCGAGCGGCTCCTTCCACCTCCGTAACACTTCAGAGTTAAAAGCAACAAAGAACTAGCAAACGTCGCCAACCCGACATGCCCAATTACAACAACTCTCACTGACCCGTCCCCTGAGACGGGACTTTGAAATCGGCACCAATCCAGCAAGTGTGCCTTTTAGCACTCCTTGTGAACCCACACAAATGTTATTTGTTATATTCTTATTCAACGTTTCCTCCCATCTCCCAGGCCACTAAAGCTGGTGAGTCACGAATGTGTTTATATTCAGAAGGCATTTTGGCTCCAGCGCATTCCTGGAAGAGACACATCTTTATTTCTTGCAAAAATCTGCCCTTTTCGCCCCCTCTGAGAAAGCCAAAGCTGTTTAACTTATTGCAATTCTCTCACGTGGGAGAGACACTGATCCTTCCCACCCAGCTCGTCCAAAGACATTTTTGCTGCGGCTTTCGACAATCAAATGCATTTAAATGTTGCCATTTATTTATTTATTGGATTGATAAGGCTGTCTGACTCCATAGCAACTTTGGATGGCGTGCAATAAAGGCATTATGGAAAAATACAAAGAAAACCACAGGCGTCCAGAGAAGTGAATGAGAAGGAAGGAAGGAAGGAAGGAAGGAAGGAAGGAAGGAAGGAAGGAAGGAAGGAAGGAAGGAAGGAA